TATACTATCCTATACTATCCTATACTATCCTATACTATCATATACTATCATATACTATCCTATACTATCCTATACTATCGTATACTATCGTATACTATCGTATACTATCCTGTACTATCCTATACTATCCTATACTATCATATACTATCATATACTATCCTATACTATCCTATACTATCCTATACTATCCTGTACTATCATGTACTATCATGTACTATCCTATACTATCCTATACTATCATGTACTACCCTGTACTATCCTGTACTATCCTATACTATCCTATACCATTCTATACTATCCTATACTATCCTATACTATCCTATACTATCCTGTACTATCCTATACTATTCTATACTATCATGTACTATCATGTACTATCCTATACTATCCTATACCATCCTATACTATCCTATACTATCCTATACTATCATATACTATCCTGTACTATCCTATACTATCATATACTATCATATACTATCGTATACTATCCTGTACTATCCTATACTATCCTATACTATCATATACTATCATATACTATCCTATACTATCCTATACTATCCTATACTATCCTATACTATCATGTACTATCATGTACTATCCTATACTATCCTATACTATCCTATACTACACTATACTATCCTATACTATCATGTACTATCATATAGCGAGTGCCTCACTGGTAGCTACAGCCCTGGGACTAGGAGAAAACTGCAGAACCTCTATTTGATGAGAGGCCGGAGTTCTACTTTAAAATACTCCGATATGAGTAGGAAAGCTTCACATACATATCAGTATTGTTACCTGTAGATTATATCATATAAAATAACGGGTGATTTGAGTTCTCTGGACCTGAACATTATCATGATATGAAAATATGGAATGTAATCGGCATGTGTTGGACTTTTCTCATTTTGTTTTGCAGAATGGCAGAACCTGGCCCAGAGTCGGCGGATCGCCCTGAAGGAGCGCCGCCATATTTTTCTTTCGGGGTGATAGGAGACGTCCAACACAGCACTAAGCCCAACGGGCCGGGCCCATGGGGAACCATTAGATACTTCCAGCAGAGTCTCCCCCACCTGCAGCAGGCCATCGAAGAGTGGGGCCGGGAGGAGCCTCGGCCTAAATTTGTATTACAGCTCGGAGATATCATCGACAGGTCCAACGGTAGGTTGGGCAGATCGCAGGAGGCGCTGGACACGGTTCTGAAGGACATTGAAGAAGCAGATATTCCTTTTCATCACGTCTGGGGGAACCACGAGCTCTACAACTTCGATCGGGATTTCCTGAGACAGTCAAAGCTGAACACCTCGGGGATGCAGGACAACCCGCTGGGTGGTGGAAGCCATGATGAGGAGACCAGCAGTCCTCCGGACTACTACGCGTATCACTTCAGTCCTCACTCCAAATTCCGCGTCATTGTGGTGGACACCTATGACCTAAGCCTCATTGGCAGGAAGACGGACAGCCAGGGATATCGGGACTCTATAGATTTTCTCGAAAGAGTTGAACAAGAAAACCGTGGAAAAGGTGAGAGTCACACCAGAGTCACACCAGAGTCACACCAGAGTCACATCAGATGAAACAGGCAGGATGGGAATGTTCTAATTAGGAGGGAACTGATCGCATTGTCATCGCACGCCTCCTTCTCTGCCGCTCCCATTTACCTGTCATAGCCCAATTATGATGCATAGGCCTTGTGTAAGCTCCATGTCATCCAGGTCAGAGCTTACACAGGGCTAAGGACCCTCCCACCAACCCCATGTGACAGTACTCGGGCCTGCTATTGGCTGCTCAAGCACCTAGTACTGTATCACAGGATAAAAGGGAGGAACATGCATTTCCCTGAAGCACGGGGTATTTTACTGAACCTGAATGGGGAGCTTGGGGGGTGGGGGGAGGA